AGTTTGTTGCGAAAGAGGAAAAACCTGTAGAAAGCTGGGAGGTAACTGTCGAGAGGAATCTAAATGCAGCAAAAATACGCTTACCCCATCTATACCATGCAAAGATGGTAAAGTTTGTTGCGAAAGAGGAAAAACCTGTAGAAAGCTGGGAGGTAACTGTCGAGAGGAATCTAAATGCAGCAAAAATACGCTTACCCCCTCTATACCATGCAAAGATGGTAAAGTTTGTTGCGAAAGAGGAAAAACCTGTAGAAAGCTGGGAGGTAACTGTCGAGAGGAATCTAAATGCAGCAAAAATACGCTTACCCCCTCTATACCATGCAAAGATGGTAAAGTTTGTTGCGAAAGAGGAAAAACCTGTAGAAAGTTGGGTGGAAACTGTCGAGAGGAATCTAAATGCAGCAAAAATACGCTTACCCCCTCTATACCATGCAAAGATGGTAAAGTTTGTTGCGAAAGAGGAAAAACCTGTAGAAAGCTGGGAGGTAACTGTCGAGAGGAATCTAAATGCAGCAAAAATACGCTTACCCCCTCTATACCATGCAAAGATGGTAAGGTCTGTTGCGAACGAGGAGAAACCTGTAGAAAGCTGGGTGGAAACTGTCGAAAGAAATCTAAATGCAGCAAAAATACGCTTACCCCTTCTGTACCATGCAAAGATGGTAAGGTCTGTTGCGAACGAGGAGAAACCTGTAGAAAGCTGGGTGGAAACTGTCGAAAGGAATCTAAATGCAAGAAAAACACACTTACTCCTTCTATACCATGCAAAGATGGCAAGGTCTGTTGCGAAAGAGGAGAAACCTGTAGAAAGCTAGGTGGAAACTGTCGAAAGGAGTCTAAATGCAATCAAAACACACTTACTCCTTCTATACCATGCAAGGATGGTAAAGTCTGTTGCGAAAAGGGAACATCTTGTAAATCATTGAGTGGACAATGTAAAAAGGAAGCTAAATGTAAAAGCAAAGTGTTAAACCCCAGCAAGAAGTGCAAAACTGGTAAGATATGCTGCTTAATCCGCACCTGTAGCGACAGAGGAGGGGAGTGTAAGAAAGAAGGAGAATGCAACGGTAGAATCGTCACGGTGAAGAAACCATGCAAAGAACCCAAAGTCTGTTGTCTAGGTATGTAAGAGAAATTATGTAAAGCACATACACACAAGCACTCGACTATAAACTTATATGCATATACACATACACAAGCACTCGACTATAAACTTGTATGCATATACACAACAATATAAAGCACAAACCGTTTCATTGATATCTTTACTGCTTTGCTATCATTATGATGAAATAAGTTCAATGATGATAATACGACTAGCGGCAGTGATAGTAATGGCAAGAAGAGAATGAAGAAAAAGAATAAAGCAGTAATGTGCATAAGATACATGAGGCTAATGACACTATCACAACACTAAACAGATGGAAGTGATAACTGCGTTTTAATAAGCAATAGAAGTACCGACATATACAATACATTAAATAACAAGCAATTTGCTTCACTGAACTGTAACAGTAATAATAATCATAATGATAATAATCATGAGGCATCGTTTCTAATAAAGGTAATGATATACTACCATACTGGTAGGGAACAAGATTCAGCTACAGATAGACAGGGTAAACCATGATCATCCTGATAGTAATAACTTTCAACACTAGTGCTGAGAGTTAGATGAAGAATAATGCTGATAATAATTATGTAGTAGTAATAGTAATAATGATGATGATTATAATAAAAGGAAAGATAATAGTAATAGTATAATAATGGTTGGTACAAATAGTTATATTCATGATACACTGACATAATAATAACAATAATAATAATAATAACAATGATAATGGATGATAGTGTTCATGATTATTGATAATAACAATAATGGTGATATTAACATTTATAACATTATTAACATTTATAATTAAAAGATAATAATGAATGAAAATCAAAATCAAGCAAAATTGATTATCATTATTATCCAATAGAGGATGATAAGAATTATTATCATTATCTTTTTCTTAACTTTGGACGCACTAACTTAACTTATTCGTGTGCAATGACTTTGCAACTAATCTCGGAAGTTACTGATGATTTTCTGTTTTCGATCACCAGAGACAACGGGCCCAGACACCACTCCTGGACCAGGACCACAAACATCTGCTGGGCCGGGACCACAAACAACTGCTGGACCGGGACCACAAACAACTGCCGGCCCAGGACCACAAACATCTGCTGGACCGGGACCACAAACAACTGCTGGACCGGGACCACAAACAACTGCTGGACCGGGACCACAAACAACTGCTGGTCCGGGACCACAAACAACAGCTGGTCCGGGACCACAAACAACTGCCGGCCCAGGACCACAAACAACTACTGGACCGGGACCACAAACAACTGCCAGTCCGGGACCACAAACCACTCCTGGACCACAAACTGCTGGTCCAGGACCACAAACCACCCCTGGACCACAAACAACTGCTGGACCGGGACCACAAACAACTGCTGGCCCAGGACCACAAACAACTGCTGGACCGGGACCACAAACAACTGCTGGTCCGGGACCACAAACAACAGCTGGTCCGGGACCACAAACAACAGCTGGTCCGGGACCACAAACAACAGCTGGTCCGGGACCACAAACAACAGCTGGTCCGGTACCACAAACAACAGCTGGTCCGGGACCACAAACAACAGCTGGTCCGGGACCACAAACAACAGCTGGTCCGGGACCACAAACAACAGCTGGTCCGGGACCACAAACAACTGCCGGTCCGGGACCACAAACCACCCCTGGACCAGGACCACAAACAACTACTGAACCGGGACCACAGACAACTGCTGGACCGGGACCACAAACAACTGCTGGTCCGGGACCACAAACAACTACTGGACCGGGACCACAAACCACTACTGGACCGGGACCACAAACAACAGCTGGACCGGGATCACAAACAACAGCTGGACCGGGACCACAAACCACCACTGGACCGGGACCACAAACCACCACTGGACCGGGACCACAAACAACAGCTGGACCGGGACCACAAACAACTGCTGGACCGGGACCACAAACAACTACTGGACCGGGACCACAAACAACTGGTGGTCCAGTACCACAAACAACTACTGAACCGGGACCACAAACAACTACTGAACCAGGAACACAAACAACTGGTGGTCCAGTACCACAAACAACTACTGAACCGGGACCCCAAACAACAGCTGGACCGGGACCACAAACTACTACTGAACCGGGACCACAAACAACTACTGGACCGGGACCACAAACAACTGGTGCAGGACCACAAACAACTGGTGCAGGACCACAAACAACTACTGAACCGGGACCACAAACAACTGGTGCAGGACCACAAACAACTACTGAACCGGGACCACAAACAACTGCTGGTCCAAGACCACAAACAACTACTGAACCAGGAACACAAACACCTATTGGACCAGGACCCCAAACCACCACTGGACCGGGACCACAAACAACTACTGAACCGGGACCACAAACCACCCCTGGACCGGGAACACAAACAACTACTTCAACTAAAACCACTCTCTCCATTGCTCCCATCACTGTAACTGGTCCCACTACATCTACAGACACAGCCACCACTACAACAGATACAGCCACTGCAATTACAGCAGATACAACCACTGCTACTACATCAACTGATACAACCACTGTCATTATAAGCACAACCACTGCTACTACAGCAGATACAACCACTGTTATCACAACAGGTACAGCCTCTACCACTATAACAGACACAACTACTGCTACTACAACGGATACAACCACTGCAACTACAACGGATACAACCACTGCTACTACAACAGGTTTAACCACTGCAACTACAACGGATACAACTGCTGCCACTACAACGGATACAACCACTGCAACTACAACGGATACAACTACTGCAACTACAATAGATACAACCACTGCCACTACAACGGATGCAACCACTGCTACTACAACAGATACAACCACTGCAACTACAACGGATACAACCACTGCCACCACGATAGATACAACCACTGCCTCTACAACAGATACAACCACTGTCACTACAACAGATACAACCACTGCCACTACAACAGATACAACTGCCTCTACAACAGATACAACCACTGCCTCTACAACAGATACAACCACTGTAACAGATACAACAACTGCCTCTACAATAGATACAACCACTGCCTCTACAACAGATACAACCACTGTAACAGATACAACCACTGCCTCTACAACAGATACAACCACTGTAACAGATACAACCACTGCCTCTACAATAGATACAACCACTGCCTCTACAACAGATACAACCACTGCCTCTACAACAGATACAACCACTGCCTCTACAACAGATACAACCACTGCCTCTACAACAGATACAACCACTGCCTCTACAACAGATACAACCACTGCCACTACAACAGATACAACCACTGCCTCTACAACAGATACAACCACTGCCACTACAACAGATACAACCACTGCCTCTACAACAGATACAACCACTGCCACTACAACAGATACAACCACTGCCTCTACAACAGATACAACCACTGCCTCTACAACAGATACAACCACTGCCTCTACAACAGATACAACCACTGCCTCTACAACAGATACAACCACTGCCTCTACAACAGATACAACCACTGCCTCTACAACAGATACAACCACTGCCTCTACAACAGATACAACCACTGCCTCTACAACAGATACAACCACTGCCTCTACAACAGATACAACCACTGCCTCTACAACAGATACAACCACTGCCTCTACAACAGATACAACCACTGCCTCTACAACAGATACAACCACTGCCTCTACAACAGATACAACCACTGCCTCTACAACAGATACAACCACTGCCTCTACAACAGATACAACCACTGCCTCTACAACAGATACAACCACTGCCTCTACAACAGATACAACCACTGCCTCTACAACAGATACAACCACTGCCTCTACAACAGATACAACCACTGCCTACTACAACAGATACAACCACTGCCTACTACAACAGATACAACCACTGCCTACTACAACAGATACAACCACTGCTACTACAACAGATACAACCACTGCCTCTACAACAGATACAACCACTGCCACTACAACAGATACAACCACTGCTACTACAACAGATACAACCACTGCCACTACAACAGATACAACCACTGCTACTACAACAGATACAACCACTGCCACTACAACAGATACAACCACTGCCTCTACAACAGATACAACCACTGCCACTACAATAGATACAACCACTGCCACTACAACAGATACATTCCCTGCCCTATAAGGTACAACCACTGCCACTACAACAGATACAACCCCTGTCACTACAACTAGCACAACTACTGCTACTACAACAGATACAACCACTGCTACTACACAGATACAACCACTGCCACTTCAACAGATACAACCACTGCCACTACAACAGATTACAACCACTGCCACTTCAACAGATACAACCACTGCCACTTCAACAGATACAACCACTGCTACTACACAGATACAACCACTGCACTACAACAGATACAACCACTGCCTCTACAACAGATACACCACTGCCACTACACAGATACAACCACTGCCACTACAATAGATACAACCACTGCCACTTCAACAGATACAACCACTGCCACTACAACAGATTACAACCACTGCCACTTCAACAGATACAACCACTGCCACTACAATAGATACAACCACTGCTACTACAACAGATACAACCACTGCCACTACACAGATACAACCACTGCCACTACAACAGATTACAACCACTGCCACTACAACAGATTACAACCACTGCCACTACAACAGATACAACCACTGCCACTACAATAGATACAACCACTGCCACTACAATAGATACAACCACTGCCACTACAATAGATACAACCACTGCCACTACAATAGATACAACCACTGCCACTACAATAGATACAACCACTGCCACTACAATAGATACAACCACTGCCACTACAATAGATACAACCACTGCACTACAACAGATACAACACTGCCACTACAACAGATTACAACCACTGCCACTACAACAGATTACAACCACTGCCACTACAACAGATACAACCACTGCCACTACAACAGATTACAACCACTGCCACTTCAACAGATACAACCACTGCTACTACAACAGATACAACCACTGCTCTACAACAGATACAACACTGCCACTACAACAGATTACAACCACTGCCACTACAACAGATTACAACCACTGCCACTACAATAGATACAACCACTGCCACTTCAACAGATACAACCACTGCCTCTACAACAGATACAACCACTGCCTCTACAACAGATACAACCACTGCCACTACAACAGATACAACCACTGCCTCTACAACAGATACAACCACTGCCTACTACAACAGATACAACCACTGCCACTACAACAGATACAACCACTGCCTCTACAACAGATACAACCACTGCCTCTACAACAGATACAACCACTGCCTCTACAACAGATACAACCACTGCCACTACAACAGATACAACCACTGCCTCTACAACAGATACAACCACTGCCTCTACAACAGATACAACCACTGCCACTACAACAGATACAACCACTGCCTCTACAACAGATACAACCACTGCCTCTACAACAGATACAACCACTGCCTCTACAACAGATACAACCACTGCCTCTACAACAGATACAACCACTGCCTCTACAACAGATACAACCACTGCCTCTACAACAGATACAACCACTGCCTCTACAACAGATACAACCACTGCCTCTACAACAGATACAACCACTGCCTCTACAACAGATACAACCACTGCCTCTACAACAGATACAACCACTGCCTCTACAACAGATACAACCACTGCCTCTACAACAGATACAACCACTGCCTCTACAACAGATACAACCACTGCCTCTACAACAGATACAACCACTGCCTCTACAACAGATACAACCACTGCCTCTACAACAGATACAACCACTGCCTACTACAACAGATACAACCACTGCCTACTACAACAGATACAACCACTGCCTACTACAACAGATACAACCACTGCCTACTACAACAGATACAACCACTGCCACTACAACAGATACAACCACTGCTACTACAACAGATACAACCACTGCCACTACAACAGATACAACCACTGCCACTACAACAGATACAACCACTGCCACTACAACAGATACAACCACTGCCACTACAACAGATACAACCACTGCCTCTACAACAGATACAACCACTGCCACTACAACAGATACAACCACTGCCACTACAACAGATACAACCACTGCCACTTATTCCAATTCCCGATAGCTGAATATACTAAAACCGATTCTGCAACACATGAATCAACTAAGGCTTATTAAGCTGTAAGTGATTCTAATGTAGTTGTTTCCCATACAACTGACAGCTAACAACTTCCGGAACAACTGACTTTACTAAAGGTGATTCCACAGCAAATTACTTTATCACAAGTAAATTAACTTCTGCCGAATCAATCATTCTACTACAACTGATAACACTATCCCAACGTATTTCATAGTTATTCCACCATAACTGAATATAACACCGCTGATTCTTCTACTAATAATTGTACTGCAGTTGACTCTAGAACAGCTGATTCTATCGTAAGTGGAGCAGATAATTTCAAATATAGCAAGAGTCGTTCAAATTGTGATTTTCCTGTAAACTCGAAATGCACTGATTTAAGCCCTGTAAATGTACTAAAGTTATATATATAGTTGGATATTGCAGACATTTTGACACAGTGTATGTCTGTATCTATTATGGTTCTTGAGACAGCACATAGGTACTTTAACAATTGTACTGTTGATTGTTAAGTGATTTTTTTTTTTTTCAGTAGTGCTATAACATAAAATTCTAAAACAAAGATGGCGTCGAAGAATGAATGAATACAATGGGACCGTTGCAATACAGAATTTAGACGATAAAAGCATACAGATTCAATGGAATGACTGTCAGCACACAACCAGTGATACTCTCACGTGGAAATTGAAAGCTGCATCTTTGTGCACGCCAAATATGCTACTGAACATGGTACCCAATCCATCATGATCAAGGCAAATAACACAAAGTATCTTCGCCGCTCTTCAAGAGTCTGGGCTACAGCAGACGTGAGTTGCAAAAGTCATAGCCTGTGCTGGATCAGTGTGCATAACCAACTGTACTAAATCGGCCAGCACTAGGTGTGCTCCCTACCAGACTAGTTGTTGCGTGTGGGACCATGTAATTCAGTGTCAGCAAGAAGCAGAGGACCCTAGAGACTGGCGATGGCAGAAGGTAGGTGAGGAATGGCAGCAGGTCTTCTCCACTGGCCAAGACTTGCCAACAGCTCACCAAATGTGGGTATAGATATGGCAGTCGTGGCAGGTGCAAATGCTAAAAACTGGGTCTTATGTATTTGTAACATGGTCTAACTCAACACTCCAATGGTCTTATTTTTGCGAATTAACTGTTTTATAACTGTATAACATGTATTATTAATAAGTAGGATCAGAGTGATTATTTAGAGTATGAAATTGGATCAAACTTCCAAATCAATATTATTCAAATCATGACTAACCCATTTTTAAAAATTGCTCAGTTATGGCTCAGTTCTCTTTTTTTTTTGAACCTGCAAATGATCTTAGCTGTTGTCGCGGCAGATAATTATAAATAATCAATCATTTTTTTCTGACTCTGTAAAAGTACTTATATGCTGTATCTCAAGAACCATAATAGATACGCACATGCACTTGGTACCAAAATATCTGCAACACCTAACTTTATATTCAACGTTACTACATTTATGTGGTTTAAAAATAATAAACTTTAACTTATTAAGAAAATATTTCTTTTGCCTGCTCTGGGGTCGACATCTTGGGTTTTAGGGCCACCATCTTGAAATTTTGTGTGGCCAGCCGTGTTTTTGAGATGGGTGGGATTTCAAAAGAATATGCACCAATTTTTATGACTGTATCACCATTTGAACAATTCTTTAATTTATCTACTCCACTGTGCAGTTTCCACTAATACTGGTTTCACAATAACCTAATCTAACATAACATTTTACTACAAGCGATTCACTACAACTTTTCTGACAATCGATACCTAAAATTAGTTATTGTTGCTGTTTCAGCCTATGTAGATTAGTAGGATATAACTTCCCTTATTATATTCTCTAATGAAAATTTAAACAAGTAGCGATGATGTTAAAATGTATGGATAATTTCCATATTACAATTTTATTTGAAAATATGAATATAAACCACGAGGAGTTGAGTATCATGAATAGTTTATGAGAAATGATAACATGATGCAATAAATTACTCATTAGAAAAATTATATAATTCAAGATGTATTAGCTGCATTCAACATATGTAAATTTGAAATAATTAAATTTGGGAAGTGTTATACCCAAAGAAAATACATTTGATCTTTTTTTTTACTAGTTTCCTTGTCTGATCCACCATAAATGCCACATGATTTTCACAAGCAAATCAATTAGTAGGGAGGTAAAACAAAGACAGGAAGGAATCTGAGAGAATCTGCTGAATGGAGGTAGAGCAACTCATCCTCTAGCAACCCTGAGAACAGAGGGTAATCTTGTAGGGGCCATCTCTTTAAATTCTGAGCACCCGATTGAGTCCCTTTTACACAACCTTTCCTTGTCGGTGGTTCACAAAACTGACAGAGAGCAAGGTTCCCATATTACTGGCAACTGAATAACTATAAAATGTCTACTCCAACCAGGGATTTAAGATGCAAGCATCTATTTGTCAGATACAGAGAGAGAGAGCGAGAGAGAGAGAGAGAGAGAGAGTGAGTGCTTCACCGTACTGTATGTATAGGGTATATGACTGTTCAATAAACATATGCAATCGTTTTCCTGTAAAGTATCTGAAATAACCGATATTGGATAATGAAGCACTCAGTATCGATACTCGGCAGTTCAATATAAAACTGGAAAATATACGGAATAATATCGACACAAATGGAAAATGACACAAGGCTGTTAATACAATTCCAGGAAAATTGCAGAGAACGTACAAGACACTAGTAAAAAATATATGAACATACATACAGTGAAATTTAAGAACCAATGTTTGAAAAATAAAAGAGTAGGCCTAAGTAATAAAGACAGGGTTAAAGCATCATCCTTCACAATTCATCATAACATTATAATGAAAGTTATATCTACATAAAAAAGAATGAAAGAATAATTTTCCTTCAACTCTCAAAAATACAACATAAGATTAATAGTACATTAAGGAATTAGGAATTCCAAAATATAATCAATAATGAAAATATAAACAAGTTCAAGAATAATACAACTTAAATAATAACAAGAAACGTACATACAGAAAATACTGCATTTACAAAAAACAGAATATTAGAGATGCTTTACCAGTAAGAAATGGAATAAGGCACAAAAAGTATGTGACGAGAAAAAACAAGCATCAACACCTTGTGAAAGAGCCAAGACAAAAAAAAAAGAAAAAAAAAAAAAGGATATGTTAATATAAATACAGTTTTGACAGATTTATAGCCTTAGAATATATGTATAAAGTATAACGTTTGAGATAACGGTTAACATGCATTTCCGGATTAAACACTGAATCTCATTCCCATCGCAAACAAAACATGGTTACGATATGTCCTCGCCGATAGCTGGAGAGGCTATTAGAGTTATCACGGTAAAAAAAAAAAAGAAAAAAAGAAAGAAAGAAAAGCGTGATCGAGGTAAATCAATCAATAATATTGCTATTGCACTGCACATTCATAGTAATTAGGTCGCCGTGCCCCTAAAGTCACCTTTAGGTCTGAAAACAAAAGAAAAAAGAAAAGGCAAAGAGGGATGGACATTAGACAAATATCCGAACCACGTACAGAAGTAGATTACTTACCTTGACCGATAATCCCAGGATGGCCAGTTTGCGGGTATCCTCTTCCTCGTTGTTGCCGCGATACGGGACTATTGGTTGGCGCGCCGCTTTCGTTATTCGCATAGAAAAAAATAAACAAATAAACAGCAGAACTGTTACAGTTTCTATTGCCATTTAATTATCCGTAACTCGCCGTTAGTGTCAATTGCCACGCCATAATTAAGTAAAATTCGAATTGGCTCAATGGATTGCACTCGCATGTCTTCCGCTACAATCGCGTTTGGTATTTTCCTCGTTTTTCTTCGATTTACCGACATTTTCTCTTGGTGCTGGAAGAGAGGACTTCACATCTCTTATGTCCTTGTTATTTGTTTGCGAAGGAAATGCTATGATAGAAAAGTGTCGCAGAATGCTTTGTTCTATTAACTGGCAAGGTCACATTCTTCAGTTCCGGTGTTGGGCGTTATTTCGGTAAATTTGAAAATGATACCTAACACTGATTGCTCGGTAAAGACACATTCTTTAGAAAGCTCTCATGTTTCGAGCGAATCTAGCGCTCATTCCAATTGCAAACATTTCAATAATTTTGCTATTGTAATGCGCATTCGAAGTAATTAGCAGGCGCCTAATCTGCAGCCTTCACCTCGTATGTTTTGGCAGGATAGAGCCCGAACAAATCTCTGGATCCCTTACCGATAATTTCTTAATCTTCACCAATAATTCTGGAATGGCCAGCCAGCGAGTCGTCAAAAATCCTCGACGTCACTGGCGGCGGGGATTTTGACCACTATGCGCCGCTCTTTTTTGTTATGCTGCGTTCGGAACTCCTTGCCCAGTTGGACAAGATGGGCGAGATGTATTGACCGTTCAGATCCCCTACTTCGACGTTCGGGATGCGATTTTACAATCTAGATGCCAAGCTTTGCAAGCCAGATATGCAAACATTTTTTTTTCACACAATCATGTTATAATTGATAAAGTCGATCTGAAACGTGCACTTTTTATTCAGAGGATATAATAATAATACTTTAAAACCACACAGCAAAGAAACAACTGCTATTACGAAGAAAAGATAAAATAATTTATGACCGTTTTGCTACATGCTGTAGTCTCACATAGAAGCTTAGACCTGTAGATAAAGAATCTATATTTGTGTCCACATTATGATTATAAGTTATAATTCATCGAACAGACTCGCAGTACAAATATTTGCTCATGGTATTACCTGCATGTAAAATATAGCTATATGGTGTATGCCTTAAGGATATATAGGCCTAACCAAGACACCCACAATATTTTACGTCCTCTACCTCATTAAGTGAAGCGGTGCCTTGAAAAGGCAAATCTGATAAACATAATAATGGTCAAAATCTGATATGGACCAGATTTATATTTATATATATATATATCTATTATATATATTTATATATTTATATATATTTATATATATATTTATATATATATAAATATATATATATATATATATATATATTTATATATATATTTATATACATATTTATATATAAATATATATATATTTATATATATATATATATATATATATATTATATATATATTTATATATAAATATATATATATATATATTTATATATTTATATATATATTTATATATATATATATATAAATATATATATATATATTTATATATATATATATTTATATATATATATATTTATATATATATATATATATATCTATATCTATCTATCTATCTATCTATCTATATATATATATATATATATCAGTCACTAGAACCATCTTATGGCATTTATCAATTTCTTGCTTCCAGCCTCAGGTGACTGTAGGGTAACAGTATAGCCATGGATTTGGTTTTGTAAGATTCCCTGCTGTGAAATCGAGTTAATAGCGTATATTATCCGTGTTTTGACAAACCAATATAAGCATAGGTGTCTGAGAATGGGAATTAAAGAGATGATAAACAGAAAACAAAGCTGTATTGTGAAAACAAAATAATAAAATAAATAAATAAATAAAATAAAACCTACATGAAGGATCTTTAGACGCCTAACTTTGATTACACACTGTAAAGAACTTTTATAGTATAATTTTGGTAAATGCAGCAATTAACTATCGAAGTTTCTGTCGAGCCTCCGATTTATGATCACAAAACGTAAACAATAGTGGCCATCATTACAATTCTATTGTCTT